CCTGCCATCTGGTTTTGTGAATTAAGTGTTGTTGGCACTGCCACAACTACTTATTTACATATTATATGTGGCTGCTTTGGGGCTTTATGTTAGTCTGGATTGTCCAGAGACAGAGAGAAATGTATTACAATGAACTGGCCCACATGGCTACTGAGGGTCAGAATCCCAGGATCAGCAGGTGTCAAACTGGAGACCCAAGAGAATGATGTTGTAACACCATTCCCTGTCTGAGGCCTGAGAACAAAGTAAGCTCCAGTCCAAGCCTGAGTACAAAGGCAGGAAAAGACCAATGTCCCAGCTCAAGGATAGGCAGAAATGGTAAATTCTCCTTTATTCTGCATTTTTGTTCTATTTAGGCTATATTGGGTGAGGCCCAGTCCTATTGAGAAGGGCAATCTGCTTAACTCAATCTACTGATTCCAATGTTAATCGCATCCAGAAATACACTCACATAGACACTAAGAATAATGTTTAGCCAGATATCTGGACTCTCCATGGCCTAGTCAAGTTGACACATACAATTAACCCTCGTGGGCTACAGAAGCATGAGCAAATACCTGCTATAGAAACCACATGGTCACCAAAACCTAAGATAGTATCTGGCTGATGATACAAAAAGTCTGCTGACCTCTGAACCAGTCAATAGAAGAAGAAATGAGAACGCAACTAGATAATTTGTTTTTCTCTTCACTGTAGCATTTTAGGAGTTCACTCATTCACTTGAAAATATTTAGTGAGCATGTAGAATGTGCCTTAGCAAAACAGTGAAGAAAACAAGTCCTTACCTTTAAGGAGCTCAAACTATAGAGGGGAAAGATAGACCAGAAGAAGCACCCAGATAGGTCGTATGGAGACATACTCTTGAAAAAATCATAAATGGTTGGACAAGGCAGACAGAAGGCTAGATTTATCCTGCTCCTACTGGGGGGTGGGGGAAGGCCTCCGGCAATGTGACGTTTCAGCATGGACCTTACTTTCCCAAATTAAGGAAATCATTCATGCTTTCAGATAAGAGTGTTTCTGACCAAAGGCCCAAAGTTCAAAGATGCTAAGATACAAGCATGCTTGATAGATTCATGGAAAATCAATTCAGTTGATGGACTGTATCCAGGTGACTGAGGGTGAGAAGAAAAGGAGGTGAATTTAGAGAAATAGCAGGTGCCAGATCCAGTTAGGTTACATGGATTACAATAATGAATTTGGATTTTACTCTGTACGAAATGGGAGGTCATTGGAAAGCGTATAATAAAGAAATGAAACTATTATCTCCTCATGTTTAGGAGGAGATGAAACTAGGCTAAGGAGTGGAATATAGGGAGCGAACAATAGAAGCCAGGAAAGCAGTTGAAGGCTCTATAAGTCAGCCTCTGCCAGGTTCCACTGCGATAACGAGAACCCCCAGGATTACAGTGTGTTACCACGACCAGGATGTCTTCCTCATGCAGGTTACATGTTGGCTGTTCCTCTAATTGCTATGTTTGGAATTCAAGCTGAAAGAACAGCCCCTTATCTGTGATATCACTGGGCTCCAGGCAGAGGGGAAAGAAAAGTGACAACCATGGTAATGTGTCTGGAAGACGCCGTGAAGCCGTGGCAAATGTCATTTCCACACACGCCATTGACCTCCATAAAACACGAAGCAATGACAGAAGTAACAGAGTGTGGAGACACCGCCCTCTCCCAGCAAGGGGTAGTGAACATGTGGGAACAGAAGTTAGTGCAGTGGTTTGGGGGCAGGACAATAGCACTGGAGGTGCTGACATGTGGTTGTGTTCTGGATATATTGGGACAAGATTGCTGATGAATTAAAAGAAATGAGAGGCAAAGAGGATTCAGAATGGCTTTAACGTCTTTGACCTTTACCTAATACATTAGGGCCCAATTTATGAAACCAGCAAAATTGAGCCCCTTTCTTCACACTCACCATCCACTTCCTTGATGACATCTATTCTCAGTTCTTTTGAGCTTTACTCATAGCTGGCTAAGGTTATTGGCTGCATAGGAGTTGGGGCAATACTTGCGGGCATAGCTCTGGAGTCAGATAAACCTTACCCTAAGTCTTCCCTATGACTTAGGGTAAGTCAGTTTATATATTTTAGCCTCAGTTTTATACTCTGTAAGATGATGGCTAATATTTTCCATACAGATTGTTTGTAGCGTGATATAAGATAACTGTCTAGAACATAGTAAATGATCTCTTCATGGTAGCTCTTGTTTTTATTAGTAAGATTCTAAAAAAGAGGATTTAGGGTGTGTGAGAAGCCAGGCAAGGTGAGTGACCTTGGATGATCTGGGAATATGTGCTAAGTGTCTCACTGCATCGTCCCAACAGCTCTATGAAATGAGGTTTATCATCCCCATGCTGCAGATCAGCAAGCCAACACACAGATGCACTTGAGAGATTCTTTTTTTCTGGAGTCACACGGCTTGTAAATCTAAGACGTAGGATTCAAATGTTAAGTCTGTTTGGATCTAAAGCCTATGCTCAAATAAATCAAATAAAGCACTTAAAATCTTGATGCTGCTTGCTTTTTATAGTGCTTACTTTTTTTTAATGGACTCAACTATCATAAAAGTTAAACTGATTATGTATGCAAGGCAGTCTGTGAATTCACTCCTGAGAAACAGTAAGAGTGATTCTTCCTGCTCCACGCAGGCAAATCCTTCTTAGAGGATAGATGCAAATGTGGTACAGACTTAGAAAGTCTTATTTATAATCTGGAGACAAGGAAATAGCTTTTAGGGAATGGATATAAAGAAAGCTCTATGTTGAGTAAGGAAGATGGAGAAGGTAGAGAAGATAGTGGAAAGGCTTACATATAACGAACAAGAGTGGAAATCCCTGCTCGAAGGGAGAATATGAAAAGAATAAATCCAACTAAAAAACAGAAGTACAAGAATATGAAACCTCAGCACTATTGACAGTGATACGATGAAACAATCCATGAGTGGCTTGGCGCCTGTAGCGCAAACAGCTAAGGCACCAGCCACATACACCAGAGCTGGCAAGCTTGAATCCAGCCCGGGCCCGCCAAACAACAATGACAACTACAACCAAAAAATAGCTGGGTGTTGTGGTGGGTGCCTGTGGTCCCAGCTACTTGGGAGGCTGAGGCAAGAGAATCACTTAAGCCCAGGAGTTGGAGGTTGCTATGAGCTGTGA